ACCCGCTCCCGCCGCCGTTGTGTCCTTGGGCAAGACACTTCACCCGGATTTGCTCCTGTGGGTATTGTCCACAGTACATGTATGATACTAATGTGTACTTGTAAAAGTGTGGCGCAGTGCAATGATCATCAGATCAAGGGGTGAAACTCGCCGCCGCTGCGTCTGTAAAGCCGTTGTGTCCTTGGGCAAGGCACTTCACCTGAACTTGCTCCTGTGGGTATTGTCCACAGTAATGACCATGACATGTGTGTAATGTGTATTTGTAAAGCGCTTTGAGCATCTGGAAAAGCGCTATAATAAATGTAAGGAATTATTATTATTATTAATTATTGCAGTAGTCGAGTCTACTGAAAATAAAAGCATGGACAAGTTTTTCTAAATCCTGTTGCGACATTTTTTAATCCTTGATATATCCTTCAGGTGGTAATATGCAGACCTAATAACTGTTGTAATGTGAATGTTAAAATCCAGGTCTGAGTCCATCACTACACCCAGGTGTCTTGCTTTGTGAGTTACTTTGTAGTCTGCCGACTGAAGCTCTGCGATTACTTTGAATAATAAAGCCTTGAAACTTGAAAACCTTTCGATGATCCTTTAACTAAAGGAAGTTACTTCTTATAGTTCTGTTGTTTGTGTACCTGATCCCATCTCGTCAGTGAGTCTTTGTGGCGGTCCTCCGAACACCGAAGACGGATCTTCTCCCAAAATCTGCTGACAGTGCTCGATCATAAACTTCACCAGCTCACAAACCTGCGGCAAACAAAGGGAACACTGGTGTTTCAATAGTGTGACAACTGTGGAGTTCAATTCATAACAAGTGTAACAAACGTTATTATCATCAATGTTCAAACTGTCCAAGGCTGGCTGAACCTCCTTTCTTCTCTTCCAGCAATAAGAGTGCATCATTTCTGAGCAGCTAGTGTGACAATGAAGGTTAAAACGAGGTGTTTGTGCAGATCATTTCCCTCAACCGTTTGCTGTTTTCAAAAAGTCAAACTGTTCCAAGATAATACTTTTTATAAAGCCGATTCGAGACATTCTTGAGTAAGCTTGACCTGGTTTAAAGGTGTTAACAATGCTACTGTAATCAGGGATTAACACAAATATATATTTCAAAAACAACATGTGTGACTGATACCGCTAACCCCAAATATCTGAGGCATTCAGGCAATGAAGACGGAAATATGCTGTGAAATGTTTTGAAGATAATGAGAATTTTGGTAGTAATTAAAAGGCAGAACTTTAAAGAGTATCATGACACTAAGCCTTAGGATAGCACATAAAAGCATAAGAATACACCCTTCTCTCCAAAAAAAGGAAATTGATTGAAAAAGGAAAATTGATGTAAACTAATTCAATCTTAGTAGTTTTGAAAATGTCTCCATTCGGTGCTTGAAATATTTTAAAACAAGCTTTTTGCTATGTTACTACTTCAAGATGTTCTATGTTTTATAAATTGTATTAAAAAGTCTGAGAGTAGAGTCCTGACACAAGGCCAGTAATAAGATATAATAACGTGGTTCCTTATTGTTTCTAAGGAACCACGTTATTATATGTTTTGTTTCTAAAGATGACAGCTTTGTACGGCTTGTATGACCTGCAGACACAGCTAACACACTTTGTTTCTGAGCCGTGACACAAAGACTGATTTAATTGTGTTGCAACATTAAAACAAAATAGCAAGGCCAACTGTATCTCCGTCTGGGTCAAATTCCTCCAAGTATTAGAGGTGATATTTCCTCCCACTTTCTCACCCTCTTGGTTTCCTCTCCCTCCACCTCAGGGCTGCAAGGAGCTCCTGGAGCCCAAAGCATGCTGGGAGCGATGCACACGGACAAATTGAAGCTCGTCATCTGGTTTTCATGGGCGTTGCCCTGGATACCGCGCAGCATTGCTAACAGGTAGCGTAGCAGCAGGGCGTTTTCTTTGGGAAGCCGTAAAATCATCCTGCAGAAAAATATGTCAATAGGTATATATATATATATATATAGTGTAGAAATGGCAATGAAATTATGATGCTGCTCCAACAATGCAACATATATACAAAAAGAAAGAAAAAAAAAAGAAAAAAAAAAGATTTAATTAAAAAAAATAGTGCAAAAAGTCTATATGCATGTAAATAGAATATGATATTTACAAGAACAGAATATGAAATTAAATAATGTACATTAAGACACAATTAAATACGGTTTATTGCGGTGATAACTATTTCTATAAATAAGTATGTTGCAAGTTGACAATGTTTATCGGGGCATATATTTACTAAAGTATGATATTGTGTTATTTCCAGTTATAGATTTAAAGAATGCACAGTACAGTTTTAACATTACATCACCTCTTTACGTCCTGCAATTGTTCCTCTTCCTCCTCCTCTTCCTCCAGAACGTCCATCCACTCTTCATGCAGCTCACAACACAACAAGCTGCTTGGGATACTGCGCAAGAAATCCTGAAAACAAACAAACAAACAAACAAACAAACATCACTTTATCACACATGCATCGTTTCCTAAGTTTCTAGTTTTGATACTGTAAGTGTTCACAAGCATGATTAAGGTTGATGTGTGTAATGAGTGACCCCTTGTGTGCAGAAGCTCTCTGTTATCCCTGCAGGTAATAATAATAATAATCCAGATTATAGTAACAAGCTAATCCAGATCCTCTGCTGTCTGTTCTGCTAACGTAGCTGCACGAGAGGATTTACTTTCTGTTCCTACAGGTGGGTCAATTAGCTCACAAATAACATGATGCTACGATGACACGTGTTGCTATGAAGCTTCATTAGATATTGAATAATGTATTTATGTAAGAGAATTACAGAGCACGGGGTGGGGGGTGATTTCCCCTAAAAAAACTAAGAATTTCTAGGATTTAAATCTTAAATATAGAAGAAATAACCTAGAAAATTATGAGAAAATAATCAAATAAATCCTTAAATATTGTTTATTACCAGTAAAATAAGGTTATTTTTCTTCTTATTCTGTCTATTGATGTTTAACTTAAATATAGACATACACCCATACTGTTAGGGTGGCACCATTGTAGGTAAAAAAATAATACAAATAATTACGAAGCAAAAAAAAAACCTACAGATGATGAGAACATAATCAAATATTCCCAGATATAATAAAGTAATTCATTTATAAGAAATACATCTCAATTTCTTTGAGATTAAAGTCACAAATTCCCAATAAAACACAATTTGGATAAATTGTTTTTTTGATAGTAAACCACATTGTTTTATGCCAGCAGCAGATAACCAACTAATCAAATTATACTTTCCAATCAGATCTGGCATTAATGAAACTCTCGTGGTTTGAACCCAGAAGCATGATGTCATGATAACTGTCTCACTTTAAAGACTCCGGCGATGAGGAAGACGTGGTCTTTTGTCAGAGGAAGTTGAAACTCTCCGCTGTCCAAAGAGTCCCGAAGTTCACGGACGGCTCGAGCTCCAGCCGGACGACGGAAGATCCCCCGCGTCCACGAACCCTCGTGGTAAAGGAACGCCATCATGTCCTAAAGAAGGGACAGAAGAATGTAATAAGAAGTCTAAAAAGAAGTTTAAAAACAAACACAATTCTTGGTGAGAAAGAAGGATAAACAAGCTATGAAATCACTCCTTGTTTTTCCCACTCACCATCACGGGTTTCGGTAGAGCGTCCTCCACGCAGACGGAGCTCAGTGATTGGCCGAACAGAATGCCTCGGGGCCCGCTGGCGAGGGAAAGTTCGTTCAGGTGAGAAGAGGATCCTCTCCAGAAAGCCCAGGTGATGAGAGAGCGCCTCCTTTTGAACGGCTTCTGAGACAAATCTGAGAAGAAGAACACAGTATCCCAGAATGCATTAGCAATTAAGAGGATCAGGATCAAAATGATAGATGGATAGATGGATAGGTAGATAGATAGATAGATAGGTAGGTAGGTAGGTAGATTGATGGATAGATGGATAGATAGGTAGGTAGGTAGGTAGGTAGGTAGGTAGGTAGGTAGGTAGGTAGGTAGGTAGGTAGGTAGGTAGGTAGGTAGGTAGGTAGGTAGGTAGGTAGGTAGGTAGGTAGGTAGGTAGGTAGGTAGGTAGATGGATGGATAGATAGATAGGTAGGTAGGTAGGTAGGTAGGTAGGTAGGTAGGTAGGTAGGTAGATAGATAGATAGATAGATAGATAGATAGATAGATAGATAGATAGATAGATAGATAGATAGGTAGATAGATAGATAGGTAGGTAGGTAGGTAGATAGATAGATAGATAGATAGATAGGTAGGTAGGTAGGTAGGTAGGTAGGTAGGTAGGTAGGTAGGTAGGTAGGTAGGTAGGTAGGTAGGTAGGTAGGTAGATGGATGGATAGATGGATAGATAGATAGATAGATAGATAGATAGATAGATAGATAGATAGATGGATAGGTAGGTAGGTAGGTAGGTAGGTAGATAGATAGATAGATAGATAGATAGATAGATAGATAGATAGATAGATAGATAGGTAGGTAGGTAGGTAGGTAGGTAGGTAGGTAGGTAGGTAGATGGATGGATAGATGGATAGGTAGGTAGGTAGGTAGGTAGGTAGGTAGGTAGGTAGGTAGGTAGGTAGGTAGGTAGGTAGGTAGGTAGGTAGGTAGGTAGGTAGGTAGGTAGGTAGATGATGGATAGATGGATAGATAGGTAGGATGTAGGTAGGTA